GGTCATAAACCAGGGCACATAGTGCTCTCCACTGAATGTATTTAGCTTTATTTAAAATATTATTAGAAAAATTAATTAAATATTATTAGAAACGTATTCTTATTTCTCTTATTTTACTATAGACCAGCAAAAGAACCAGTACTAGGCCACAAGAGGAACTCAGCACTCCACATAATACTGGACAATCTCCAGGGAGGGGGATGCTTTGTTTTGCTTGAATTTCCTAAGGACAGAGCCCAGAACTTCAGGCATGCTAAGCAAATACCCTACCACTGAGCTCCATTCAAAAGCAAAATATACAGGAGGCTATCTCCATTTTCCCAGAGATTTTATAATTCCACAGCATTTTTTTTTTTCTTGAGATAGAGTATCCATGTAGCCCAGCTGACATGGAACTACTATGCAGACCAGGCTGGCCTCGCTCTCACAGAGATCCACCTGGCTCTGACTTCCAAGTGCTGGGATTAAAAGTGAGCACCACCAGGACCAGATAACAGCATTTTTTAAATGCACTAAGGTAACAACACAAAAAAAGTACTTATGAGATAACGGCATATAAAATATAAGAGTACAGTCTTACAGTTTGAATTAATTTGCCTCACCCATAGGTGTTGGCTGGCAAAAGAAAAATCACAGAAAATTCAGCTTAGAAAATATAGAACATTTTAGTCACGGATGTTGAACAATTAGCTGAATTTTCCTTTCATTTTCTGTTTCTATCTTCCACCCCATTTCTTAGGAAAAAATGAAAAGTAAGTGGGTTTTAACAAATTTAAATTTTTCTGTGATTTTTTTTCACCTTTGCTGTTATGTTGCTCTGCATCCACTAGGGGGCAGTAGCAAACAACACAAGAACGGAGAGGAACATGGTACTCACCAGCACCTGCGCACAAGATCTGTAACAGAAAAAGAAAAGGGAAGTCAGCAGATTCATTCAGCCGTGGAAATGCAAATCAGACTCAGCGCAGTTGAGGATTTAATATTGGGGGTGGGTGCTGAGTGCGTTAGGCAAAGGCCTGCTGGCCAGGGTTAGGGTTTCTCTGGGCATTAACTACAGGGAAAGCACAGGTCAATTATAAACAAAGGATTAACTGGATTTTGAGGAGGCCCTGGGCCTTTGGAAAAACCTAGAGTTTTTCCCACAGACATATGCGACAGGGAAAAGCTCCGAAGGCCTGTGCTCCCTCCTGCCCGTGTGAGGTGAACTGAGGCAGATCAATAAAGGAGCAAAGTTAAGATGGGCCAGAACATAAGTAAATAGGGAACAGCAGGCCCTTCACCAGGGTCATGTCCAGGGCCTGCCTGCGCATAAAATCACAGAAAGCGATTTTTCACTCTACCAAAATTTATCTTCTTTATTCTCTCAGTAGAGAGCAGTAATTTTTTAATTATTTGGGGAAAATGAGTGAAAGAGACTTAAAGATCTAGTTGACAATGTCAATCTGTAAGCTTTAGATGAAGGGGGTCTTTCAGTCACATTATTATCCACACCATAAATTAGTTCCCTAAAGCCAAAAGTAATTTGAGGTTGTATGTTCCATTGTTTCTTAAATATATGCTTTTGGTAAGTGGAATTTTCAAAGTATGGTGTTCATGAAGAAGATAATCAAAAGGGGGGAAATGTCCTCCAACTTCTACCATACCTCAGTGCCCCTCACATTCTTGAAGCTGATTTAACCCCTTAGAACCTAAGCACTCTTCCCTGAATGTTCCATCTTTCCAAAGGCCTGGTCAAAATGCCAGCCCTGCAGTGAGTTTCTTCTCAAACCACAAATGAAAATTCATACCCTTTATCACCTGTCTCCTCCACAAGAGAAGAAACGTAGCGTACACTGTAGGCACTCAGTGAATGCCACAGAAAGGAGCAAATGAGCTGATGAGGGATGAAAGAGTTTCCCAAGGTCCCCCCAAACTTTCCACTCCCTCATCGCTTGGGCCTAAATGTTCTCAGCTCATTCTTACGCCCTTAGTCCCTGCCCCTCAAGCTATGTGATACATCAATCCACACAGTCTATGACGGATCCGAGGAGAGAGAGGAAAAAAGAGGAGCCCGTGGCTAGGTAGGTGGCAAATGGAAGCAAGAATATTTTGCCCAGTAGTTGAAAAAAACATTGAACTACAAAACCTTGATGCTCTAAGATAGCTGATCCTGGCACCTGTCCAGGCGGTCTCTTCAACTCTATACACCTATAAGGTCTACCTTAAATCACCAAAGATCTGCATCCTGCCCTCAAGCTGTTTATATGAAAGTAAGGGAAATAATGGAAAGAATTCAAGGTAGAAAGCACCTGTCACTCAGGTAACAAGCCAGTATGGTGCATCTACATGGGCCAAGCAGTCCACCCAAGTCCACATCTGGTGCTGCAGCAGACAGCCTCAGTGTCCCAGGAAAGAGGACAGGGCTAGCTACACCCTAAGAAGATAAATGGTCCCATTTCCCACTCCCCATGTCCATCTTTTGGTAGGGGAAGTCAAGCACAGGCAGGTGCAAAAGTACTGTGTGCCTCTCCATCTGCATCCCTTACGTCAAAGGCACAAGTAGAAGTGCAAAGATCACATTTTAGAGGAAAAGGCAAGATTAAAATCACAGCTTTGAGTCTGGGTGCTCCATGTGTTTGATCCAATGCACATACAGTGTTGACTGCTGAGCTGTGTTCTAAATGCTCTCAACCATTAATTCAATCCTCCAAACAATCCAGAATGGGTAATTAATGAGGAGGTGAACTGTGGGCCTCAATCTGTAGCTTGGTGCTCAGACTACAGAGTCCCTGTACATAACTACTAGCTACACCACCTCTCAAGTGGAAATATACCAGGGCTTAGGTAAGATGTTAAAATTAATTTCAAAATACATATTATCAGCAAGTTCCTTTCTAATCTTAAATATAAAATAAAACAGAAAGCAAGCAGGCTAAGAGTGCCAGGTTTTTTAACTCTCAACCCTCTCAGAGGCCTCCCACAAACAAGCCTGCTGGGTCTCTGTGAGGCTCAAAGCAAAGCAGTGGCCACTGTAAAAACACATGGTATCACCTCGCTGGCCTTCCTCACCTCCTGGACCTGACTTCCAAATAAGGTGTCAGCACTTTCCTCTGACTCCAGGGGACCTACGGTACTCAGCCTAGAATAAATGTACCTAAGAGTCTACATGGGGCTCCTGGGGAAGAACTTCCTACCTAATAAAATGGAGTACATGAGGAAAAAATACTGCATTGCTTCGGTGAACTTCATGGGTCAGCCTGTGATGCCGGGGGGCTGCTGCAGCTGCTCTGATGGCTGCAGGGAATGACCAGACTTGAATCCCTGAGCTGCTAATTCAACCGAAGGACCCTTCTACACCTCCAGACACCTTGCCAGGGGAGACAGATACCACTTACTACTTAAAATACTTGCTTTTACATTGTTTATTATCTGTAACAAAGTTACACTAGTTCACACAAGGTCATCAAAGTGAGGTAAGTGACTTTCACGTTAACTTCACCTTCACAGGTAGAAACCCTGAGAGAACAGTGATTCCTCTTCCAGGATCACAGAGGTGGTCAATCAGAACCACAGCCAGAATCTCAGCCCAGGCCAGCCACACCTCCAGCCTTTTCCACAAACTACAGATAAAAAGATACCAGTAAAGGGTACCTATTGGATACCTGGCCAGGTGGGCCCATCACAAATACTTTAAAGAATACCATCAACAGAAAGCTTAGCTTTCCCAAATGGAAGTCAATGTCTGCCTGTGCTGAGGGGGTGGGGGGGTATTGTAGACCAGCATCCCCAAGCTCGAATACTGCTCCCCAAAGTTACCTACAAAGGGAGTCTGGGGGACAACTTCCTAGCTGTTGACAGCTAGATATGGAGAGAAGAAGCACAGTTCCCTCTCTGCTCCTACTGGAAGACAGGAATCTTCCTGAGACTGTCCTCCCTCCATTAGCCATCCACCTCCAAAGGTCACCACCCCAGGTGGCCATCCCTGTAGGAAAAGCAGTAAGCATTCCACAGCCTCCTCCTGAAGAGTCTTCAGACATTCAGACAGCCCAAGGCAACAACAGGAAAGAGAATCTCCATCCACAGATAAGGGCTCAGCTGCTCAGGTTGCACAACCCTGGATCCCACAGATACTCTACTGTGCTCCAGGCACAAGAGGACTGCAGAAAGTCTAGAAAGATGAGCTGCAAGCTGGAGATAAGCCAGCCACTTTCCACTCCCTACTTCTCTCCCGGCAGAAATTAAAGCAGAAGAGGTACTGCAGACAAACTTGCAGTAGGCGCATGTCAAGCTTCAAGATCTGTTGTTCCCTTCTGGCTCTGACCCTCCAGGCCTTTCCCTTCTAACCTAGCAGTCATCATCCAAGTCATCATGGAGAGGAGTTCAACCTATGGCTTAGGGCTAGGGGAAGGAGCACGAGAAGTCACGGCCCTTGCACCTGCAGGAGAGGCGGTACTGCAACAGCACTATTACCACAGTCAAAAGGGAAAATCAACCCACTGAATGTGGTACATCCATACAGCAGAGTGTTAAGGGCTCATAAAGAGGAATGGAGTCCTGACTCCTGCTACAAGGATGACTCTCAAAAAGGTAATACTACAAGAAAGAGCTGAATATGTGACTCCACAGAAACTCAACATAGGCCTGGAGTCACCAGGAGCTAGGAGGAAGGGGAGGAGGAGCAGCAGCACAGGAGGTTTGGTGGTTTCCTTAAGGGCTGGGGAGCTCCCTAGAGGTGACAGTTGCACAATACTGTGAAACCCATAAATACTGCTGAATAGCACTTTCACAACAAAAGGAGCCATGTGAAAACATGGCTCCTTTTGTTGTGTAAATTTAATCTCTTTTTAAAATAGTATGTAGGGTTGGAGAGTCTTGCTCTGCTCTTCCTCATCTTGCTCAAGGGAAGAGGGAAAGGAAGCTTCCTGCAGGAGTAAAAAGAGAAGGGAGAGGGAGCAGGAGGAGGAGGAGAAAGAGGAGGAAGGAGAAGGAGGAGGGATGGGGGAGGAAGAGGAGAAAGGAGAGGAAGAGGAAGAGGAAGAGGAGGAAGAAGGGGAGGAGGGGTAGGGAGAGGAGAAGGGGAGGGGAGGGGGAGTAAGAATGTTCTGGCAGGCACAGAAGAGTGGAAACAACTACCCTGAACCTGAGAAACTCGATGTTGAGTCAAATACATTCTGAGGACAAGAAAGGTGGGTTTAACTGGGCATCTCCCCATGCCAGGCACCACGATCTGCATTCAGACCTCTTGCAGCATTCTGCAGGGCCACCACTTCTGGCTATGTGACTTGGGCAGGTAACTAGCTTACTCATTTCCTGGTGTCCACATCTGTCTTGATGCAGTGAGGATGAAATCATCTATTTCAACTGCTATCATTGCCAGTGTCCCCACTTTGCAAATCCTACTGACCAAAACCAATGGGCTATCTGATACTTTCCTCCAGGATTGTTTTTCCAAGGACAACTGCGATACAGAGGAAGTCACTGAGGCCCAGAGATAGTAAGAGGTGCGATGAAGGACACACAGCAAAGGACAAAGTACCCAAACCAAGCTTCCTCAGCCCCAGACCTGGATGGGGCACCCACTGCTCACTATTCCTCCACAAAGTTGCTCATACAAGTGACCCAAGATGTTTGCTGCCCTGTAGCTAAACAAAAGAAATAAACACTAAGATCGCAATGGGCCTGACACACAGAGCAAGAAAGCAGCTACGCCCTTTGTTCTGACAAAGACTTCTGGTCACCTAGGCAGACACAGACACAGACACAGACACAGACACACACACACACACACACACACACACACACACACACACACACACACACAGATTATGGTAAAGCACCTGCCTATCAACCTAAGTGCCCAGGGCCACAGAATACCCCACAGAAAGGAAGGCTTCTCCCGCTGCCTAGAGGAGCGCCT